TTCGAGTTTGATGTTGTTCGTCGGTTATGATGTTTATTGTGCCTGATCTCTGTGGGAAGACTCGACGGCGCTCGCCTAGGTCAGGGTCGCTAGAACGAGGAGAAACACCACCGCAGCACGGCAGGTGTGTGCGGGTGTGTGGTGTGTGTATTGTGTGTATTGTGTGTATTGTGTGTATTGTGTGTATTGTGTGTATTGTGTGTATTGTGTGTATTGTGTGTATTGTGTGTATTGTGTGTGTGTGTATTGTGTGTATTGTGTGTATTGTGTGTATTGTGTGCATTGTGTGCATTGTGTGCATTGTGTGTATTGTGTGTATTGTGTGCATTGTGTGTATTGTGTGTATTGTGTGCATTGTGTGTATTGTGTGTATTGTGTGTATTGTGTGTGGTGTGTGCGTGTGTGCGTGTGTGCGTGTGTGCGTGTGTGCGTGTGTGCGTGTGTGCGTGTGTGCGTGTGTGCGTGTGTGTGCGTGTGTGCGTGTGTGCGTGTGTGCGTGTGTGCGTATGTGCGTGTGTGCGTGTGTGCGTGTGTGCGTGTGTGCGTGCGTGCGTGCGTGCGTGCGTGCGGGCGGGCGGGCGGGCGGGCGGGCGGGCGGGCGTGCGGGCGTGTGGGCGTGTGGGTGTGTGGGTGTGTGTGGTGTGCGTGGGGGTGTGTGTGTGTGGGTGTGTGTGTGTGTGTGTGTGTGGTGTGTGTGTGGTGTGTGTGTGTGTGGGTGTGTGTGGGCGTGTGTGTGTGGGGTGTGTGTGGTGTGCGTGGGTGCGTGGGTGTGCGTGTGTGTGTGCGTGTGTGTGCGTGTGTGTGTGCGTGTGTGTGCGTGTGTGTGCGTGCGTGTGCGTGCGTGTGCGTGCGTGTGCGTGCGTGTGCGTGCGAGTGCGTGCGTGTGTGTGCGTATTGTGCGTGCGTGTGTGCGTGTGTGTGCGTGTGTGTGCGTGTGTGTGCGTGTGCGTGGGTGTGCGTGGGTGTGCGTGTGGGTGTGCGTGTGGGTGTGCGTGTGGGTGTGTGTGTGTGTGTGGGTGTGTGTGTGTGTGTGGGTGTGTGTGTGGGTGGGTGTGTGTGTGTGTGGGTGTGTGGGTGTTTGTGTGTGTGTGTCTGTGTGTGTGTTCGTTCGTTCGTTCCCCCGCCTAATGCGGGGCGCCGTATCTTCACACCGTCTCAACCCAAACCGCGCGCCAAGGCAAACGATGCAGGCGGCGGTGGGTGAGGGGGAAGTACGTGGGTGGGGCACGGTCCGCTGTGCAGCCACCCAACACCAAAATACGCACCTCGCACGCCGCTCTTGAAAGCACCCAACCGCCAGGACCGGCCCCTTCCCCGCATTGGTGGAGCCAACCAACGCACAAACACACGCGACGCAAGACAACCACGGAGCTGCAGCCGGCGCTGCGTGCAACCCGTGCTGTGTGCGCGCTGTCTCGGCGTGGAAAGCTGTCAGTCGGTTCCGGGTGGCGTGATGGGGCGCACCTGCTCCGCGCGACTCCGCACAAGGCTCACGGGAGCATGTGGGAACGCGGGTGGGTGAGAGCGCGTGTTTGAGCCACCCATGTGCGTGTGTGTGTGTGTGTGTGCACAGCCAAGCCATCACACCTGAACGTGGGGCGCCCCACACAACCACGACGAGGAGGGGGAGCAGGGCACACAACACAGCACAACGCATCACAGCCACACGCCGCCAAGCGTGTGTGTGTGCGTGTGTATGTGTGTGTGGCGAAGGGGGCTTTTTCTCGTGCGACGGCGACGACACTCCGCGCCTCGCGAGCGCCGCGGCAGCAGCTGGGCAAGGGCACCATTGGTCCACGCCGCAAGGAGAGGGGGAGGCGAGGGGGGGGAACGGGAATCGTCGGAGGATCGCTCCCGCTGGTCAACGGTGGCGCGGCCCTGCACGCGACGGCAGGACAAGCAGCGCTGCGACGGGCCCTCCAGCCATCGGGAAAACCATCTTCAACGGGGACAGGAAGGAAGGACGGTCTTAGCCGACGTGGTGTGCCGGCCGCATGGCCAGAGGGACTGGGCGTGCCCTCACACAAACGCACTATGCCGGGGGTGGGCCGACATCTGCTGAGGATGGGCTGGCACGCCCTACGCAACAGGCGTCACAGACGCACATGCGAGCGGCGTGGCAGAAAGCGGTCAGAAATATGTAGTACGTAGTTGCACCAGGAGGCACCCAAGGACACGAATTCGCAGTAAAACGTATCATTAACCTCGGACCTGTGCTCCCGTGCGGGGTCCCGGCCGAGATACGCCAAAATTTCACTACCCAATTCGGGCAGCCACGGAGAGAGGAAGAGAAGGGAAGAGGAGAGGGCAGGAGGGGGCAGCGGGGCACGCGGTGGCAGCAGCGCAATGCTGCACGCTCCGCCGATGCTGCAAAAAAAACGAATCCGTCGTAACGCCAGCCGGCCCCGGCGACGCGACGGGAGACACCGGCGTCATCGTAACGCCCGCTCGCGGCGAGACGTCAGCAGGAGTACACCAAAACTACGCTGCCCAATCCAGGCAGCTAAAGGGGGAGGCAGAGGGGGAGGAAGAGGGAGGGCAAGGGGAGCAACGCGAGGCATGCGGTGCCACCGCTACGGCCTCAATCCACCCAGGGTGCCTCACGAGGTCTGCAGCAGCGCCACCGCGATCTGTTTCGGCATGCGGCCGCGGTGGAAGCCTGCCATGTCAACCACCGGGTTATAGATCGGGAGCCCCAGTGCCAGGCGTGCGGTAAGCTCCGGACCACCGCCGGGGGTGGATATGCGTTTGTCTCTGCACGTCCAGATCACCGTCCCCAGCGGGGTGCGGACGACCTCTTGGCCAGGGGTCCCCACACCCGCGCTGGAGTTGGCCAGGCCCGCGAACTCGGTGAAGCCGTAGAGCTCCTGGACGTAGAAGCCCACACTGGCCAGCGCCATCCACCACAGCCACCTCGACTCCCTCCTGTCGGCGCCGGCCGGCGGCACAAATTTCAGGATAGTCATGCCCTGGGAGGGTTCCGGCCTCTGGGCCTGGGGGGCCCAGGACTGCGCGAGCATCCTCGGGTCCGACGGCGGATGCTTCGCGCGGAGGTCGGCGAAATCGATCTCCTGCCACCCCTCAACCTGGCGCGTCTGGCTCCTTGGCTGCCTCGGCGGCCGCTGCTGCCCCCGGGAGCGCATGCCATCGCGGCCGGGGGGTGGGGCGCCGCTGCCCTGCCCGGCCCCTGCCCAGAACGCCTCGGACGTAGGTGGCGCTGGCACCGTGGGTGCCTCTGTGCTCACGGGCATCGGTGGGGTGGCAGGCCGCGAGGCTGCTGGGGACGCCTGGCACCACATGGGGAGTGCCGCTGTCGCCTCCGGGTGCGCTGCCAGGAAGAGTCCGAAAGTGCCGGCGTTGCCCAGGTAGTACACGTACATGTTACCGCCGAGGGCGGCAAATTTCTCGAGGTCCGGGGTGGCTGCCGGGCCCTCCCCGAGGAGGAAGGTCAGTCCATGTGTGGCGCCGGCCGCAGTTGGCTGGCCCTGGGTGGCGAGCTGGCCGGCTGCTTTCTGGAGCGCCGCCATGCGGGCCGCCTGCGAACCGGAGAGGGTGAGGAGCTCGTTAGCAAGGCTGCTAATGGTGGCTGGAGGGGCCGCGTGGAGCTGAATGGCGAGGTCCGCAAGAATGCTCTGGTTCGGGCCGGCTGCGTCCTGGCCAACCGGAATGGCAGGCTCGGCCTGCGCGGCCGGCTCCGGCCCAGGCATGGCCATGCCAGGGGCATCCCAGCGGCTTTGCCAGCACCGGGGCGGGCTGCGGCTACGCGGAGCCGGTGCGTCAGCCGCGACGCTCGTAACCGGCCACTCCCATTGAGTTTTGCCCATGCCCATGTTGTAGTAGTAGGTGTAGCCGCTGTTCGGGTCAACCGCCGCCGCCCAGCCTGTGGGTAGGCCCACGGCCGCGGCTGGCATCGGCGATGGCGCAGGGCCCGGTAGGTGCTCAGCCGGGGCGGTCAGGGTTACTAAGGGTGTGGTGGCTGGGAGTGTCACCGCCGAGCCGCGGGACGGGAACTCGCGAGCGCGATCCTTGGTCAGCGCCTGTGCGAGGGCGGGGATCGGAATCTGCGTTCCGCTCGACCCGGCCCGGTAGCTCGCCACCCGGCGTTGCAGGACGTAGGTCATCAGGTACCGGACTGCCAACAGATGGGCTGGCCACCGCTGGCGGGCCCCCGTGGCGGAGCCTTCCCATGAGAGGGGCTGCCCGTCGGGCCGGCGAAGGAGGGCCATCAACGCCTTGGTGGCCGGAAGTGGGGCCACAGGCAGCCGAGGCTTCTGGGCGAAGCGTGCTCTCATGGCCTGCGCCTCCTCGAGCGCATGGGAGACATCGAGCTGGAGGCCCTTTCTCTCGACCAGCTCCCGGATCTTCGCTGCGTTGCCCTCGAACGTGAGGTTGACATCGTCAGCCGCCATGCCGGATGGATGCTGGTGACAGGAGTTGGGCCTGGGGGAGCGCGCACTGCGGGCCAGGTTCCACCTGGGCCAAGGAGCTGCGTAGGGCTGCGCGGGGGTGCACGCGACGTCGTACTGCACAGCGCGCTGCAGCCACCAACGGGTGCATGCGTTTGGGCGACGCGCGAGGGAAACGAGGAAGGCGGGGGGGAGGGACGGAGGGAGGAGGAGGGAGGCAAAGGGCGAGCCAGGGCAAGGGGAAGGCCGGGCGGGAGGCAGAGGGGAGGAAAAGAGAGAGAGAGAGAGAGGGAAGAAAGGGAGGGGGGAGGAGCACGGCGCCACGCCGCACCGCACAGCGCATCACAGCCAGCGACAGGTGTGTGCGTGTGGGCAGGCGTGCGCGGGACTGTTTCTTCCACAATGCCGACATGGAAGCTGCACGGGCTCAGCCAAAACGATGGGCGACGGCACTGGCTGGGCGCACGAACGCCTACAGAGAAGAACATCGAGTACCAGGAGGCAGGGGGGAGAGAGGCAGCGTGACGCAGGCTAAGGATGCTAGGGGTGCAGGGGCGCCAGCAGCGCGTGGGTGCCTATGGTGGTCCTCCCTACCCGAATCTGTAGGTCGATAGCTTGAGGTAGAAGTCCTGCGGGCACACAGGGTCATCGAAGACCGCTGGCCGGGCGTCAGCAGGCTCATATTCGCATCGCCGCTGCCACCAGGCGGCGAAAGCCTCGCCCCAGGGCGGCGTGGAGAGGTTAGCGGAGATCCAGGCCCACGGCAGCGCGGCGCCAGGGACGGACTTCTCCAGGCCCTCCCGTACCCGGGGGGCCACCTCCGCCAAGCGGTAGTGGCGAAATTTCGCTTTGAGAGCGCTGTGGGGCAGCGATTCCCACTCGGGGACAATATCGGCGAACGGCGGCACGGTGAAGCGCGCCACGAGGTGCCGCACCTTGGACACCCAACCACCTGCCGGCGGCTGCGTGTCGGAGACCACGCGAACGTGGGCATAGTCGGGCGGCTGAGCCCCCAGCTTTTGGTGCAGGAGGATCGCTGAGATGACAGCGTGGGACCAAAGAGAGCCCCAGCCAAGGTCCGCCAGGTAGCGCTTCCGAACCGCGCCTACGGGAGCAGGGCGTCGGCCGCGCCACGGGCCGTGTACGACCGCATGGATCCATCGGGACTGCAGCCTATTGAGTCGCAGGGCAGCGCTGCTGCATTCAATGGTGAGGGGCAGCAGGAAGGCGACAGTCATGAGGGCCCGCGCATAGAAAAGCCGCCGCGCCGCCAGGGGCCATTGGCTCTGGAGGGCGCGGTGGTTGATCCCGCTGGACAACGTGGCCGCCCTGCGCTCCAGCTGGCGGAGGACGGCGGCGGCGCCGCTAATACCCGCAGACTCCAGCACGCCGAGGTTTTTGACCTGCTGTGCGACCGCCGGCGTGCCCTCCTGGAGTGCACCTTCCAACCGTGCTTGCAGAGCGGAGCGGGCAGCGTCAGGAACCCCGTCGACGTAGACCACGTTCTTGTCGGAATCGCACTGGAAGACGACCCCGTGGTTGGTGGCGTAACTATGGACCGCAGCGACGGCCTGGAGGACAAGGGATGGGGATGACGTGCGGACCCTCGCATCATCGACAAAGAGGTGCGTGGCGGGGATATCGCCTGCTCGGACAAATCGAGGAGCATGAGCCGCTCGGCGTCGGATTGGCAACGCCTGAACAACTCGTCGACGATTGCCTGGGCGCTGCGCCCGAGCCTACCGCCGAGCGACGTCCGCAGGGCAGCCCGCATGCGCTCACCCCGCACCAAGACGTCAGGGATGGAGAAGTCCCGCCAGGGCGAGAGATCGCCGTCCGCCGCGTCCTTGAACGCGACCAGAGCAGCCGGGTGCCGATGGAGGCATGGCGCCGGAACGACTGCTGCTACGGCTTCTTCCAGGTGGCGTGGGAGTAGGGTGTAGGCCATGCCCGATATGCCGACGCCCTGGACCATGCCGCCTCCCGTGTGCTCCACCGGGCCCAACCGTGAGGCCGGGCGGCCAGGGTCGGCGATGCGGACGAATAAGCGGTGCTTGCGAAGAAGGGCGTCCAGCAACAACCAGTCACGTGGGCGGGTACCCGCACGATGAGCCTGTAGGAGCACTTGGGAGTGGCTTCCGCCATCATAGCCGAAACGAGCGCCCATCACCAGGTCGCACGTTGGGAGCCCAAGATTTCGGCGAGCAACGGACCACTCCCGTAGAACGACAACCTGTCCCCTAGGGTCGCACCTCCCGCCGGTTTGCGCGGGGCCTGCAAGACCGATGAGGAAGGGGCCGATGCGAAGCTGGAGAACATCCACGACTAAGGATAGGAGCGGCTCAACAAGGCCGATTGGCCGATAAGACTCTATGGCTTCGGGGTCCTTGCCCTTACCCTTGTACAGGTGGACGACTTCGACCTCCAGTAACAGCGCGTCCAATTCTGACACCTGCCACGTCAGGTCGAGGAACGAGGTGACCGCCTCGACAGCAGCAGGTATGCGGGACGCCCCACGTAGGGCGGCCACGGGAAGCCGGGCGGAACCTTTGGCCGCACAGCGCCGTCGCATCAGGCGCTGCACCGTGCTCGGTAATACGAAGAAGCCGCTGCTCCCAAGATCCGCCGGCGCGGCGACGGCTGCAGGAGGGTCGAGCCCCGCGGCAACCGCGGAGCGCTTTCGCGTGCGCAGTTGGTTCACCGAATGCGCCGCTGCTGCATCCAAGGACGAGTTGCACCTTCGGTCTAGGCGGCCGACTTGCGCCCGAAAGCGCAAGAGCGCTTGAGCCTTGGCTCGGGAGTCGATCAGGAGCCTGGGAGCCGGCGTCGACAGCGACGAGGACAGCCAGCGCTGGAGGGCGGCCGGCCCACCGCGAGCCGCCCGTGCGAAGCCTTTGGGGACCGTCCGAGACTCGGCCGACCGCAGGTGCGCCTTGGGCACTTTCCACTGCTTCAGACTGGAGGGCCCCGAACCCTGCCGTAGCCAAGCACGCTGCTCGCTGAGGAGCGCGCCGCCGGGTCCGGCAGTCCCGGCCGGCCTGCCCATGGCAACCGCTCCGCCGAGATGCCCGGCGGTGACCAGCACAGCGACTAAGAGGCTCACAGCCGCGCCAGCAACGGCCTCGCGGAGCGCACTGGCAGCCCCGTCGCGTAGATGGGAGGAAGCTGCGCGAATGACAGTCGCGTACCGGTGCCAGTGGGAGTGGCAGGGTGCGCACGCCTGCTCCCACGTGGCCTCCTCGGCCGCCCACCATACAGAACAGCACTGCTGCGGAGTGTCCTGGGGCGCGGGGGGCGGCTGCGTGGTCAGGGGGCGCTCCAAGACCAAGGCGTGGTCGGCGAACGAGGTGGGAAGCCAGTAGGGGGTGACCTGTCCACAATACTCCAGCGCGGTGATGTGGAGGTCCAAGGCCCCCCCCCGCTCTGTGCGTGGCTGGGCCCCATAGGGCATGGAGATGCCGCGCAAGGAGTTCCCCTTTGAACCATCTGGACATGGCGGCGTGAGGGGAACCAGGTTGCGCAAGCGCACCCGGGCCATCCGCAACGCCGCGCAGATTGAAATCGCCCATGGTCAACGCGAAGCCCTCGCTGGAGAGGGATTGCATGGTTAGGTGGTTGTCCAGGACCCGCCGCAGGAAGGCATGGGATTCGCTGGCCAACCACTTCCCGACATGAGGATGGTAGACGGCCTGGAAGCACCGGCCGCACAGCTGCATGGCCCTGCAGCGCGGAGACCACTCTGGGCAGCCAGGGACCGCCGTGGCCTGCCCTTCGAGCCCATCAGCCACGAAGAATCCAGCGGATGCGCAGTCACGGCGCAGGTCCCCAATCCATCTGTAGCCGTGGGCACCCTGGAGGGACCCAGGGGCGAGTCCCGCAGCGAGGCCGGTAACGGCGCACACCTGGACTCCCTGGGTCAGCAGGTGTTGACACAGGACGCGCACGTTCTGGTCAGTGACGGGGGTGAGCTCCCACCAACCGAACGACGCTACTGTCAGATGCTGCACCCCTGCCTGGGTGGTTGGGCGATCCAGCGGGGACCACGCAGGTTTGTGGTAGGGCGCGGAAGTGCAAGACGTGAAAGTACGTGGGGCCAGTGGCGCCCCCTCCCGTACCAGGCCGGACAGGGCGTGGAGCCAAATACTCACGTACTCCGTCAGTTCAGCGGGGGCGGCGGGGCCGCATTTCTGCAGGCGCGCGCGATCAGACAGCAGCCTCTGGAGGAGGCTTTGGGAGTCACGAAGCCACGCTGCCGCGAGGGAGGGGTCCACACGGGCGCGCGCTGTAAACACCTGGCAGAGCCGTAGCAGCAGCGCGTGCTGCTTGACCGGGAGCGTTGCCACGCTACGGACACCGGGCTCCATGGCGGCAGGGCTCAGGAGAACGGCGGACAACACGACCGCGACGAAGGACGACGGGAGCGACACCTCGGGGGCCGGGGCAAGTGCTCCAGGAACGGAGCCGATGGCTCCGGATGCCGCACCGCTACACATCACAGCGCAGCACAGCAGCGCAGCAAGGCCGCGAGTGTGCGTGTGTGTGTGGCAGCACATCACAGCACAACACAACACAACACAGCACAACACAGCGCAACACAGCACACACAGCACATCACATCACAGCACATCACATCACATCACATCACAGCACAACACAGCACACGCCGCTTGGCGTGTGTGTGTGTGTGTCGCTAGGGGGGTATCCTCCCATCCTCCTGCGCATTGCGGCCCAATTTGCATCTAGCGCGCCCCACTGATGTCCGATCGCTGGAGCAGTAACCTTTGCCCTGCCGCCGACGCAGAAAGTGCGTGTGTGCGTCGTGCAAACGCGGCAGCCACCCCGATGTGGGCGTTCAAGGTTGAACGCCGCCAGTTGCCTGGAAGCGGCCGACATGGAACGATCTGGCAAGCGACAAGCCCATCGTGAAGGAATGAACGATCCACACGGTGTCGGAAATCAATGCTGGGGTTGTGGTGAGACGCGACGGCGTTTGCTCGCATACGTCGGGGTATCCTCCTCCGCATCCTCTTTCCGCTCCTGCTCCTACTCGAACGGTAGTTCCTTGTCCGGTGCCCTGTTTCTCACATGTGTTGGCACGTTGCATTGTTTTAGCTCAAAGCCTGATCAGTGCACCGTGCCCGCTTTTGACGCGCCTTAGACATTCCGCTTTATACCAACATACGCTGCACTTCGCTTACGGAAAACATCGTTTCCTTTCTGACACCCTCATTTCTAGTCGTTTCTTCCAGTCCGTGAGCGAGCAGCATCCCCCAGTTTTATCAACGCTGCCGCGTTCGCTGGGAGAGAGGGCCCGCCACCGCCGCTGCGTCGTGCACCTATGGCGGACGCCGCGAGTCTCTCCCCAATCGAGGGCGGCCAGGAGGGGGGTGCTGATTAGGAAAAGGTGGACATCATGGCCTGGGCCATGACACATCATCATGGCCCTGGCCACGATAGTTCGCGCCCCCGGCCGCGGCCATGAACTCCGAGGAGACAGCATGATATCTTCCCAGAGTTCGTGGCCCCTCCTCGTCTTTCAACACGTCCCCTGGCCCCGCCCCCCTCGCCCGCGCTCGTGCCTCGGGCCACGGTTTGCTGCCCCCCCCTTTGAAGCGCCCCCCTCGTGAACGCTTCCGACCTCAGGCCGGCGGAGGCACGGGGCAGGCGCGTTTTGCTGTCGAATGTGCCTTGCCCTCGCATCACCGCCCCGATGTCAAGCGCCGCCTCCATCGTCGCATCGAGGATGCAGCCAAGATGGCGAAGTTAGAATCGAGGGCTTACAAACGGCCTCATTATAGTCAATCTCAGGGGTCAGTGCGGAGTTTTTTGGATCGGTGCTGAGGCCTCCCTGGCGGCGCTTCTGGCGCCGCCCCTGGCTCGCTACACGCGCCAGGGAGGGGGTCCAGCGCCGATCCAAGAAATCCGCGGGGATTTCCGAAACCTACAATGGAAGCCCATGCCAAGAAACACCTTGCTTGACTCCAGGGTGCCCTGGGCTTCGATGGTTTCGATGGTTTTGCTAAATGGAAATCGTGACGCTCCACACCAAAAATCAATGGACGTCCTGGGGTCTCGGGGTTAGGTTTCTTGTGGAAGGTTTCTTCTGGTCGATCTCCTGCTCTATGTTGATGCCGTTCGTTGCTCCTCTTAAGTCGGGCCTGTCCCTCTACAGGAGGAAAATTCCAAAGTTGTCAAAAAATAGTCTGGGGACGATGTTCTCACTATTTTGGAGCATGTTTGGAGCATGTTTGGAGTGTTTTCTGATTTTTCTTCCAAAATTCCGCTGTAGGGGGACAGGCCCGACCTAATGCCCCTCTGAAGCAGCAGCCCGGGGTCGGAGGGGGCTCGTTACTCCTCTGGCTTTTCCACGGCCCATCCTCTGGCGCTCCTCGTAGACCCTGGCGCTTTTTCGAGTGGGGGGTCGACTACATAATTCATTTACCTCTACGTTGTTTTTCGTCGAATTCTCAGTTTTTTTCCGACCCGGATCTACACATATCTCGTGGAGTCGACGAACAAAAAATTTTATCCTGGCGAAGGACCCAACCATATGCAGTTGTGAATGCCGCAATTGTGAATGCCATCTTCGCCTGCGCTCCCTATGTGGCCACGGCTTCCCGCCGGAGCCCGACATGCTCAGGGACACGTTCGTGGCCGTCTTCGCGGGCGCCGACGACGACAAGGACGGCGTCCCTCTCACCGAGGAGCAGAAGCAGGAGAAGGCCTTGAGAGCCATGAGGGAGGAGGTGGCGTTGCACGTCGACAAGGCGGAGTACGACGCCCATGCGCGGTTGTTGAAGCAGCGCAACTATGGGGCCACGATCCTCGTGAGGGATGTGCCGCTATGGCCCGGGGCCGCCATGCGAACCCTGCCACTGGCGCCTTCGGTGGAGCTCCAGTGGGGCCACGGTCCTCGTGAGCCGAAATGGCCCGAGGCCGCCATGCGAACCCTGCCACTGGGGCCTTCGGTGGAGCTCCCCATAGGGCCACGATCCTCGTGAGGGGTGTGCCGAAATGGCCCGAGGCCGCCATGCGAACCCTGCCACTGGCGCCTTCGGTGGAGCTCCCTATGGGGCCACGATCCTCGTGAGGGGTGTGCCGAAATGGCCCGAGGCCGCCATGCGAACCCTGCCACTGGCGCCTTCGGTGGAGCTCCCTATGGGGCCACGATCCTCGTGAGGGGTGTGCCGAAATGGCCCGAGGCCGCCATGCGAACCCTGCCACTGGGGGCCTTCGGTGGAGCTCCCTATGGGGCCACAATCCTCGAGAGGGGTGTGCCGAAATGGCCCGAGGCCGCCATGCGAACCCTGCCACTGGCGCCTTCAGTGGAGCTCCCTATGGGGCCACGATCCTCGTGAGGGGTGTGCCGAAATGGCCCGAGGCCGCCATGCGAACCCTGCCACTGGGGCCTTCGGTGGAGCTCCCTATGGGGCCACGATCCTCGTGAGGGGTGTGCCGAAATGGCCCGAGGCCGCCATGCGAACCCTGCCACTGGCGCCTTCGGTGGGGCTCCCTATGGGGCCACGATCCTCGTGAGGGGTGTGCCGAAATGGCCCGAGGCCGCCATGCGAACCCTGCCACTGGAGCCTTCGGTGGAGCTCCCTATGGGGCCACGATCCTCGTGAGGGGTGTGCCGAAATGGCCCGAGGCCGCCATGCGAACCCTGCCACTGGCGCCTTCGGTGGAGCTCCCTATGGGGCCACGATCCTCGTGAGGGGTGTGCCGAAATGGCCCGAGGCCGCCATGCGAACCCTGCCACTGGCGCCTTCGTGGAGCTCCCTATGGGGCCACGATCCTGATGAGGGGTGTGCCGAAATGGCCCGAGGCCGCCATGCGAACCCTGCCACTGGCGCCTTCGGTGGAGCTCCCTATGGGGCCACGATCCTCGTGAGGGGTGTGCCGAAATGGCCCGAGGCCGCCATGCGAACCCTGCCATTGGGGGCCTTCGGTGGAGCTCCCTATGTGGCCACGATCCTCGTGAGGGGTGTGCCGAAATGGCCCGAGGCCGCCATGCGAACCCTGCCACTGGCGCCTTCGGCGGGGCTCCCTATGGGGCCACGATCCTCGTGAGGGGTGTGCCGAAATGGCCCGAGG